GTACCCTTAACTTCACGCCAGCAACACCCTCACACAACGCCCCTGTCGATTTTAAAGGGGCTACCCACCATGCTCTCTATCCTTGAACCCCGTACGAGGCATTCACGAATCACGCATGTTACAGAATCATGAAAAATGTTAGTGTTACTCCACTGTTAGTGGATATTTGCGTAGAAGCTGTAATCAAATGTCAATACATACCGTTGCTAATCGAATATTCATGGTGAAATGTACTTGTTTATTCACAAATAATTTTACTGTTTCATCAAAGTGTACTTGAAGAAAGAAAATTCACGAAATATAGAAATCTGTCAATAACCACATGCGAGCACTCACTGACGAAGCGCCCTCTTTTGAGTTTTTATATTCCTAAAATTTATTGCAGAAGATAAAAGCGTTATAATATTACCTACGTGTGATTATGTGCACTGTACACATACAATGTTAACTAATTTATTATTATTATTATTATCATCATCATCATCATTATTATTATTAAATATTTTGCATGCAATTCAAATACAAATACATGTACTGAAAACAGTCTTTTTTATGGAGAAAAATTCTGATAGCTGCTGATTCTGAAGAATTCTGATATTCTAATAGAATAAAATTTCCGAGTAATACAATACAAAACAACGGAAATAATTAAAAGTATAATACAATAACGACAGTACTTTTTGTACGACTAAAGTGAATAAGGTATACTTTAAAATCATTTCTACCCTAGCTTATATATATAATAGGCACTCACCCGCACGCGCGCTGACTGTCGTACAAACCCGCACCCATGCATACTCATTCACACACACACACACACTCGCACGCACGCACGCACGCACGTACGCACGCACCACACACACACACACACACACACCACACACATGCACATATATATATATATATATATATATATATATATATTATATATTATCAATGAAAATCAATATACTAACATAGCAAGGTGCGTTTGTGCATTGCATAATAAGAACTATTTCGCCTCACCCCGACATTCAACTCTGAGCAGCTACAGTTCAACCAAATATTTAACGGCTAAATAAACTACGGCATACGCCAAGTCGGTATGAATACACACAAATGTAATCATTGTTTACGCGATCTGCACATATTTTATAGTAAATTTGATTTTGCGACACATAGAAACTGCTGCGCACACAGCACGCAAAGCCACAGTTCAGAAAAGAAAAATGCTTTTAATCAAGATTAAAATATGAAAACGACATGAATTACCCCTCAGTATATTATGTATATATACACTGTATGTATATTTGTATATATATATTTGTATATATATATATATATATATATATATATATATATACTATATATATATATATATATATCAATATATTCTAGAATAATCAATATAAAAAATCCGGGGAACTTATAACAATGATAATAATGAAATAATGATAATATCTCAATCTAGGGAATGTATGCACATATAATTACAATACGTACATGGTTTTGGCTATACAAACATTTTCTGTTGTAGTACGAATTCCGAATAAACATTATTATTATACAATACTATACATATATACATATATCTATATAAAATCACGATACAATCAAGAACTTTAATACCGTTGGCATTAATAGTAATACAATAAGTTTAATATCTAGTCAGATTTGATCAAACGCGCGCCAGAACAGAATATATGCGCGTCGGCGTGGCGCATAGTGCATACGTCATTGTTGTCATAGATATATGCAAATGAAGCGACATCATCGGTAGCCAATTGCAGGGCGCCAGGAACCCACGTGATCGTTATACCTAAGCGACCAGCGACACACTCGAAAGCTGCAGGATTTGTCAACCGATATTGCTGGATTTACATTTTGGCAGGCACCGTTGCCTTCGCAGATCAGTGAATAACAGCATCGGCTATCCTCAGCTAGAAGATATCTGTTCAAGGTACGGTATTTATAGCCTTAAATATGAAAGTTTTCTTGTAGATTTGCGGAAGTTGAAAGCTGCAGCCAGGTGGTTGTTTCAAGATGGCGACGCCCGTAATTTTCAATTCTTACCGGTTCAATCATTGTATTTGTAAAGCCCACATAATTATTAGGGGCCTACTTACGAGCTAGAAGTGACTTGTTGAAAATGCACATTGATGTCATCTGAAATGCCTTTTAGGTAGTAGATGCAGCTATTTCTAGTTATCTGGCACCATAAGTCTAGCTAGTGTGGCTAGTACTGATAAATGATTAAATAATTAAAAGATACAGAGTGGCTATATGCCCGGCAGCCTGCATATATCTGACGGCTGCCGGGCACGGTCTTCGATTTCCTAAATGCCCGGCAGTTTTTAATTTTTAGCGTTATCTCAAGTAAACAAGGGTTAGGGTTAGGGTTAGGGTTAGGGTCAGGATTAGGGTTAGGGTTAGGATTAGGGTTAGGGTCAGAGTTAGGGTTAGGGTTAGGGTTAGAAACTGCCGGGCATTTAGGAAATCGAACACCGTGCCCGGCTGCCGGGCATATAGCCACACCGTTTAAATATAGGCCGTGGCTATTCTTACGACCAGTCGTAAGAATTATTTATGGACTATTTTTACGACATTCAACGCGCATGCGCATAATAGTTAATAGTAAGATAATTCAAGTTTAGGGAGTCGCCTACACCTACTCCCTAACCCTAAACCTAACACTAACACTCAAACAGTAACAGTAACACCCGAACCCTAACACAAACTTTAAACCGGCTCGATTTCCTTATATACGTAATATATCTTACAAAAACAATCTATGGTGTTTAACGACATACGCAACGCATGCGCATCGCATGTCGTAAGAATAGTCCAGAAATAATTCTTACGACTCGTCGTAAGAATAGCCACTTCCTAAAATATAATTTATAAATGTCCCCAGTGTCAGTGACTGAGTGAGTCGGGTGTTGCTAGAACACGGGCGTCGAAGGAGGGTGCCGTTACGTGGCAGCACTAGTCACTTCGTATGCTTCAAAGTCCAAATCTTCCACAGAAAGATTCCACAGTCATACATATCAGTACGTGCTAGACATGGCCTTATTTCCCTAACCCTAACCCTAATCCTAACCCTAACCCTAACTCTGACCCTAACCCTAATCCTAACACAAGTGCAGCCACATCACGTGACCCTCCTTCGACGCCCGTGTTCTAGCAAATCCCGAGTGAGTCGGTGACAGCAAAATTTATTGCGTTAAAAATTGTAAACAGTACGTGGATGACGTGTTATTTTAATTCACTCGTCAATTTTTTTTTAGAATTTAGCTAGCTAATCTGGTGCCTACTTAACTTTATAATTAATTGTCACGGCTTAATTTATTAATCCACGAGCTATAAATAGTTATAAGTTTCAAAACAAATTAATTGTCTATATTTTATTCAGCAGCGTCTGGTTATAACACTACACTGTGTTCATTAATGATCATCTTAAAATGATTTTGAAGAAGAAATATGTTGTTTATAACTTATAAGCTGTAAATTGGCATTTTTATGTGCCTCGTGTTAGTGTGTGTGGAGGGGCTGAGGGTTGTGGGCAGGTTGCGTATGATTTCTGCATATATAATTAATGATCGACATTTTATTCGATCATGTGTCGTAACTCCAAGGATGTTGAATCTGTTGATCCAGAACTGAGCTTTATTCGTGCGAATAAATATCCACAGCTGACTAAAATAAAATCATTGTCGCTGAACATCCCATCCACGAGAGACAATGGAAATCAATTAGACTAAAAACAGACATCTATTTGATTGGATAGCTTTAATACTGATTACGTATCAAAAATTAATACAATAAGCCTTTTGTAGACCATATAATTAATTAATCCTACTTTTATGTATCATTTGTTCCAGACTCTATAGAATATTTCGATTCACTTCCTGTATCTCATTTTATAAGTGTATATAAAATTAGTGTGACATTTTAGTTATCCAGACTTTGAAACAACATGTGAAATATATATGCACGCACACGTATGTTTTAATGATGTGCACACCTGTTGCACAGTGTTAAACATAACAGATTAAATTGCTCCATATATTTCCATAATTAATGGAATTCAATGACCGCAGATGTGCTGTGTCAGACGTGTGTTATCGCATTATGATATCAGGGGTAGAAATTAACTTTTGAACACGGGAGTCCGACTGACTCCCTAACCTCAAAAAGGTGGAGTCTGCAGCAAAATGAGGGAGTTCGCAGTCTGAGGTTCAAAATTAAAGATATTAACAATAACGCATGTGCTTATTTTTAAGATTCATGCGGTTGCACGTCTGCCAAATTTTCTTTGGAAATTAGCTGAAAAAATACGGTAATTCCGCGAGGCCGTGCTCTGGAACGAACTAGTTAGTATGGCAGAATTTTCAGGGAGTCACACGGCTCCTGCATATGTCAAATCAGGGAGTCCGACAGTAAATCAGGGAGTATTTGACTCCCGTTAATTTCGCACCCTGTGATATTGTACGGGAAAGGGAATGTTAGTGACATCCGTACACATCCATATTTTAACCTTTATTGAATGAGTAAGAGAGCGGTGTAATCGCACTCACACATCCTGTGCATGTTAATTGTTATTCATGTGCCTGTCTTCATTCCCATGCGAGGCCATTTCGGATAATGACATGATGCATAATGTAGGAGTAATGCGCCAGTATCGCCTTTAGTGAAGTGTCATCGACTCATACATGCTTGCACCGAACCTGCGACAAAGTGGTTTACCATTTCCCCTTTTAGCATAATCGCACGCAAAGTATCATAAATCAGCACAGTGTCTGCATTCGTTATCGAACGATTTGATGATCGCACAGAAGTTAGCACGGTGTCTACTCAAGCTGTGCTGTGTGCCAAAGGTAAACTGTGCTGCTTGTTTTGGCAGTGATAATGACAAGTTGTCTTTCAGTAGGGCAGTGTGGTAGTAGTACTAAGTCACTTTCACAGGTAGTGGAATGTGGCCGGGCATAACGTATAGATAACACATTCAGGGTATTCCTAACATATCGTATATTTTATAGATAGCTCATAATCTTCACCCGATCACGGTGTGGTTTCGAAAAGTTTTTTTTGGGGGGGGGGCGGTGTGTACACTGAGACATTTACAGTCGCTTATATGGGGATTGTTAGTTTCGGAATATATTATGTTTTCGAGGCAGAATCGGTCACCATTACAGGTGCAGTGGTGCACCATATAGCGTACCATTATATACGTCCCTCGCCCAAACAGGTTTTGGAACGTCATTATACGTAGACTGAGTGTTGTCCCC